TAAACTTCAAGTTTATTCAAACAGTATTCCTGGACATTTTTTTTCCCACACATGCCAGATTTGGACTATGTACTGGAATGATGTGAAGGAACTCAAACATTTTCACAGGGTCATGATAAAAAACTTGACCACTTTCATAACTTTATTTTGGAAGATCAGTAGCAGGTCAAAATCACAGAGACTGACATGCACACCAGAGATGGCATGCCAATAAGCATCCACACCATACAGATGGTCACAAGTGAGCTGGGCTGGTCATGTGATCAGAATTCCTGCTACTTAGTTACCAAAGCAAATTTTCTACAGAGAGATTGAATCTGGCATATGCTGTTATGGTAACCAAAACGTTTAAAACAAAACCCAAACACACTGCTTCAAATATTAATAACAGAAAATTATCTAATTTTCCCCTTTTCACCAATTTAAAACAATTCAAATTTCCTTCAGTGTTCTGAACTATTCAATTTCCACCTGTTTCTTCTCCTTTCCAGATTGAAATTATCTGATATCATGTAGAATAAAAGACTGCATATGCATTCCAACTGGATATGACACTAGTTCAATCATAGTCAAAGAAGCAGAAGCTTGCTACTAATCTAGGTCAAAGCAGAAAACCCCTGGCCAAGATGTGTAAAGACAGCAAAACAGGATGTTACACAATAATTCCCACTTGGGGTAAATTGTGCTGCTGCTTACAATCACTAATATGAAATTCCTTTGCTCATTATTTCACAGAGCTTCAAAACTAGGTTTCAAGCTTAAGAGTTTGTACCTGTGCTGAAATCAGGCATACAAATTAGCATCTAAGCTTGTTAAAGTAGAAATCTTTGATTTGCAAACTTGCGGTCCAGGCAAATTTGAACTCTGAGATCTAAGAAACTCAGACTTTTGAGTCATATTTTATTGTCTGGTCAATGCTGTTCGAATGTTGGGGGCCTAGATGTTTCAGAGGTTCTGACTGCCTCATTTGTGAATAGAACCTAATCACAGCAATAGATTAGGTAGTAAAATCAACTTAACGTGCATAGGAATTTACCAAAAAAATGGAATTAGAGTTTGATAAATAGCTTTCATTTCCATGGTAAAAATCTTGGAAGCCACAGATGGCAAAAAAAATTGGACAAATTTCATTGATGTTTTCTGCTGCTAATGTCATATTAAATGACTACCCTGCCACAAAACCTTTGTGAAAATGTAGACAAAATTGTATTATAAAACCAATGTAAGGACACACCTATGCTTTTATTCTAATGGAATTATGTTGCATGAGCACTTAATTGATAATGGCTGCCATAAAGAATTTAAATAGTTATTTATTCAATTTCACTAGAACTTCAATGTAAGAAAATGGGCACGGACACAACTGTTGAGGTGGCTATGAACACTTGTCGTTATATTAGCAACAGCATCAGAGAACTCATGTAGAGTGACACTATGGGAAAGATGTAAGTTTGGGTTTCATCACAATTTAGTTCTTGGTCTTGAGCTATGCTGGGCAGATGCTCTAGCTAGAGTACTTTCTGAAGGGTTTAGGGAAAAACAAAGTTTTGCATTGGGGGACTTATGTGGTTAAAATTTGGAAGCAGGTCAATCACTGATTTCTCAATCGAAGGGATATAGTATCTAGGCAAGAATGCTTGCGGTTCACTTGAAGGAAAACAGGTGGTTTTGGGTTCAAGCCCAGGAACTCAATCTAAACAGACACGTTACTGTTGTGCTGAAGGATTGCTGCATTATTAGTGGTGTTATCTTTTGAATAAGGCATCAAGCAGATACTCTGGCTGCCTGTTCAGGTGGATAAAAAAAGTCCTGTGGCACTAACTGAACAAGAGGAATGTTAGAGCCCATTTTCATCCTTCAAGTAACTCTGCCAAAGCAGATTAACTGAGAATTTTTTTGTTGTTGAATGTTGCTGTGTACAAATTTGCTTTCACATTGCACACATAACAGAAAATATGTTTGCCTTCTTTTAGGTGGTGATGGTTTTCTTGCTCACGAGGATGGAATGATTATCTTATAGGCATCTTCACAGATCCTGCCATTTCATAGTGAACTCAGCATGAGGCAGACTTCAGTGATACGAGGTTATACATCTGGACAATAAAATGTTCAGTGTCTGCTATGAGACTCTAATGGGCAATAGAGACAGAAAAAAGAAACCAAATCAACCACAAGCCACTGGTTAACAAAATAGCATCATAAAAAGGTAAACAAAGTCTGGGTTCATTTCTAGAAGGATGGAATTGAAAAGTAGGGAATTTATGTTCAACCTGCAGCGAACTCTGGTTAGACTGCACTTAGTGTATTGTGAAAGTTTAGGTCAAACAACACTGTAGCGTTGCACCAACTTCCTTCATTTTCTTCACTGCAATAATTCCAGCAAATTCCAGAGGTGAGGTGAGAGTGACATTCCTTGACATCAAGGCTGCACTTGACCAAGTGTGGCATGAAGAAGCCCTAGCAAATCTGGAATCACAGGGCATCAGGGGAAAACCTTCCAATGGCTGGAGTCATACCTGACACATGAAAGGTGGTTGTAGTTGTTGAAGATCAGTCACCTCAGCTCCAGGATATCTTAGCAGGAACTCCACAGGGTATTGTCCTTGGCCCAACCATCTTCCAGCTGCTTTATCAATGAACTTCCCTTCATCATTAGGTGAGAATTGGGGACGTTCGCCGATGATTGCACAATGTTCAGCACTGTTCATGAATCTAGACACTTAAGCAGTCCATGTCCAAATGCAACAAGACTTAGACAATATCCAGGCTTGAGTTGAAAAGTGGCAAGTAATATTTGTGCCACAAAAATACCAGGCAATGGCCATCTCCAATAGGAGACAACCTAACCATCTCCCTTGACATTCAATGATGTTACTATCAAAGAATCTCCTTCTTTAAACATCTTGGGGGCTTCCACTGACTTGTAACTCAAACGAACTTACTGCATAAATAGAGTAGCTACAAGTGCGGGTCAGACCTAGGAATACTAGAGTGAGTAACTCACCTTCTGACTCCCCACAGTCTGTTTGGCATTTACAAGGAACAAGCCAGGAATGTGATGGGATACTCCTCATGTACCTGGATGGGTGCAGCTCCAACAACACTCAAGATGCTGGACACCATCTAGGGCAAAACAATCTACTTGATTGGCACCATGTCCACTCCCCCCACTACCGATGCTCAGTAGCAGTACTGTGTACTATCTACAAGATGCACTGCAGAAATTCACCAAAGATCCTTACACAGAACCTTCCAAACCCATGACCATTTTTATCTAGATGGACAAGGGCAGCAGATACATGGAAATACAGCCACCTGCAAGTTCCCTTCCAAGCCACTCACCATCCTGACTTCCTTCAGTGTCATTAGGTCAAAATCCTGGAATTCCTCCCTAATAGCATTGTTCCTCTATCCACAGCACATTGACTGTGGTAGCTAAAGAAGGCAACTCACCACCACCTTCTCTAGGGCACTAGGGACACCCATGTCCAATGCTTAAATTTGACAAAACAAAAAGCCACAGGCATGGAGATAATCTAGAGAGCAGATAAGAAACTGTTCCACTAACTCTACTTCAATCCAAAACTGAAATCATTCCAACCTGAGTCATAGAGCTTCAGAATGCAGATTAGCTTTCACTAAATACCCTGAAAACTAGGGTCCACATCCAACCAACCCACTGCATAACAACACCACCACCCGTATTGTTGATTAAGATCAACAGCAACATCCTGGAAAATGGGGCAAATCTCTCAAAGAAGTTAGACGTGGACAGAAAAATTTGTCATTGCTCCGATGTGTCAGTTTAGCCCACAATCAACTGAGAAAAAATGTATTTGAGGACAAGATCTTAAACCCAAGACTAAGACCATAGTTCTCAGGACTGTAGTATTCCCTGTACTCCAATATGCTTCAGTGACTTGGACAAACCACGGCAGGCACCCCAAATAACCAGAGAAGCACCACCAGTGCTGCCTTTGCAAAACAGGCAATTCAATAACAGCATCCTATCTCTAGCCAACTTGTGTAGCATTGTGGTGTTAACCACTCAACACCAGTTCTGTCAGTGTGTAAGGCTGACACCAGGCTCCTGAAACAACTGCCTTACTTGGATCTTGGTCCTGGCAAGAGTCAATGAAAAAGCTTTAGTGACGGCCTCACAGCATCCTGAAGAAGTCAAGCAAAGTTGCTGACTTTTGGCAGATCCTGGCTTGTGTCTGAACCAAGATAAAGGAGACTCGTTTAGTAAAGTCTCAAGGACATTGAAAAACTTTGTCAGGAATATGCAGAGGTGAAATTGAGGTGTCAGTGACAGTACATAAATCTGCAAACAACCTGTCTAACCTGCTCATAAAACATATGGCAGTTTTTAGATCTCGCAATGTACGTATAAGTCTTCTTAGAACCCATGCAACCTGAGTGGAAACAAGTAATTGTCAATCTCTAAAATAAATCACAGAACTGTGGATGCTGGAAATTTCAAATGAAAACAAAAATTGCTGGAGAAACTCAGCAAGTCTGGCAGCATTTGTACAGAGAAAGCAGAGTTAACGTTTTGAGCCCAGTGGACTCAGCTCTGAAGATGGGTGAGTGGACTTGAACCGTTAACTCTGTTTTCTCTCCACAGATGCTGCCAGACCTGCTTAGTTTCTCCAACAATTTGTTTGTTTCATTCTCAACCTCAATGGACCGCATGAAAAAAAGAATTCTGAACAGTTCAAGTCTTCATATAATAAGCAAAAGGCACTGTAGGAAGTGAAATAATGATTTACTAGGTTGATACCAGGATTGAGAAGTCAGATTAAGAAAACTGAACCAGTTGAGCTCTGTTCTACAGAAAAGGGAAGACTGAGCTGTGGCATGAATGAGGTCTTCAAGATCATGAAACAATCTGATGGAGAAGACACAAAAATGAGAGTTCCACTAGTGGAGGAGACCAGAACTAAATGCCATAAATATAAGATAGATATAATAAATAAGATAGACCATAACAAATTCAATTGGAAATTCAGGCAAAATATTTTTATCCAGGGAGTAGTCAGAAATGTGGAACCTGCTACCACAAAGGGTAGATGAAGCAACCAGCACAGATATATTTAATGGGAAGATACATGAATACATGAGGGAGAAAAGAAAAACATGTCAACATAAATGCATGGAAAATGATAAGAGGCTCACATGAAGCATAAATACTGACATGCACCTGTTGGTCCAAATGACTTGTTTTTGTGTTGTAATTATTCTTCTATCCTGCAATTCTATTTCATTGGCTTTTATATTTGGAGAACATCAAAAACACCACATAAATGAAAGTTAATTCTTCCTTAGCATGATCCACTCATATAGTATTGATGTTAAATGTAATTGTTTTTGTCAAATATTCCACTACTTTCCTGATGCAAAATCTGTGCATGTAAGGTAAACAGGGACATTAAAGTGAATACTACATAAATAAACATACAAAATACTTTTCTAGTTTTTGATATGCTAAGTCTCAAACTTCTGGGTGAAACATCATTGCTGGATGATATACACATTTTTATAGATTTGTATGTTTTTTAGCCACCTTGAGGAATTAGTAAGTTATTGTCATGAATTCCATTGTTTGTTACCATTATTAGGCTTTTGCTAACTTTTTTATTTAATGCAAAGTTTTAGAAAATCAGCAGAAACTGCACATTACTGAACAAAGGAACATGATAAAGGAACATGATATTATGATATAAGGCATTTGTGTGCCTGCACAGATTACCAGTGATCAGTGCAATGCACAATAGAAGATGGAAATATTCTAGCTGAATTTATCAACAAAAAAACTGTACATAATGTGAGTACTTTATCCAAAACTGAAATTCAAATATTAAACACCATTACTGCAGATCAAAGATTTGGAATTTTGTTACAAGTCTGACCAAATCATTTAAAATCATTGCAACATTATAATAAATTTAAGGCTTTATATTTACTTGCATTCTGAAATGCTATAACGAATTTGCAGGAAAATAAGTACATATCCAAAATATTAATTGCCTTCAATCAGCGGAGAATGGCAGATCATTGTCTTGCATACCGAGTTTATCATACCTCCTGTTCCAATGACAAGATCATTCTCTTTAGTAACAATGCTACCAGTTTACAGATATAGGGCAGATTATGTCAGAATTCACACAGGGCAAACAGGCATACATAAACTGTGCAGTGAATTAGATGTGAAAACCTGGACACTGCTGCTTGTAATGTGTTGGCCCCCTGTGATATACCCCTTTTCGTAGACAGTCTATAGATCACATCATGGTGGCTGTAATTGAGACCACCTGCCAAGTCAGAGGACAGTTACAGATGTCGTCTGCTCAGATGAGATAATATAAGGCATGCTGTGGTCACGGAACACTCAGCTACATTGATCTGGCAACACTGGAGGGAAAAAAACAATTGCTTTTGCTGCTGAGATTTTGTTATCTTCATAACATCCTTTGTCTGTAGAGACTGGTGAGGTTGGTCACTGGATACCCTGTTGAGAGCGCCTCTCTTCAAGCATTCTGCAAACCCACATGGAAACCACTTCTGCGTTCTTGTCATTGTACTGCACTACAAATGGGTGAACCTGCAAAGTAAGGATTTAAAAGAAATGAAGCAAATGAAAGGAAGGAATCATTTGTAGACTAAGCTAATAACTGTTAAGGTTAGGTCATATGTATCTTAAGCTCAGATTTTTCCACATTGAAATTCCTCATCAAAACTGACCATGGAAAGAAATTCATGAACATGCATTCCTTGTAATTAATGTTCTAATGCAGTGATGTTGCACTCTGTGCAAGATACCTTGCTCGATATAATTGAGAGTTCTAGAACAGCCCTATATTATTGAGGGATATAATTGAGATCTAGTTCCTACTAAGCTAGGACCCGTAGAACCACTACATCTACAGCACTTACGCAAGAATAGATAATTTTACTTACTTTTCCCAGTGAAAAGAATTTGAACTTTTGCATTTTGTTGTGTTGAATGATCACATATTGAAAAGAAAACAATTATGCATGTTTCAGAACAACATACAATAACCCTTTAACAAAAACATAAGAACTGCGAATTCTGGAAATCAGAAACAAAACAGAAACTGCTGGAAGAACTCAGTCCTGAAGAAGGGTCACTGGGTCCAAAATGTTAATTCTGTTTTCTCTCCAAAAATGCTGCCAGACCTGCTGAATTTTTCCTGCAATTTCTGTTTTTGTATACAATAACCTCTTTTGTATTCACTGAAGTTAACTGCAAGTGAGGTATTTTGTTTGTCTGTGTATGTGCATGAGCATGAGCAAGACAGTAAAAGTCTAAAGAGGCTTTTAAAAATATTCAGGTAATGGGAATGGAGAAGTGGAGGTGTTTGAAGTGAAGGAAAATAGTTTTGATAACGATTCAGATGTAGGGGTAACAGGAGGAAACTGAATTTGATTGAGTAGCACACCAAGCTTCTGTAGCTCTGCCCTAAATCTCAAATATTCAGAGGTTGAATGGAGTTGAGGCCAATTATGCATAGAAATATACAAGAGAAGAGGATGACTATGATTTTTTGGAGATTTAGCAAGGGGAAGTTGAATCATAAAATGGTTGGATACATTGAGAAACTGATTAAAGAGGCAAATGAGATTCAGTGCTTTGATTACAAAAGTAAGCAAGTTGTAATGAACTTTGATAAAACACTGGTTCAGCCTCAATGGGAGGACAATTTCTAGTTCTTTAGTGCACAACACACTAGGAAGATTGTGAAGGTATTCAGGAAGGTGCAGAAAAGATTTATGAAAATCGTTTCTGGCCCCAAGGCCTTCAGCTGCGTGGATAGATTGAAGAAGCTGCGTTGTTCACCTTAGAGGAGGTTGAGAGGAGCAGAGTTAGAAGTGTTCAAATTCACGGGAGGTCTGGACGTAGCAGATAAACTATTTAGATTAGTGGAATGGTCGGGAACCAGAGAATATTAATACAAGATGATTGGCAAAAGAACCAAATTACACCAAAGTGAAATGAGGAAAAATCTTTTGACTCAGTGAGTGGTTAGGATCTGAAATCCACGGAGTGCATGGTGGAGGCAATAAACATAATGGCTTTGCAAAGGAATTCAATAAGTACCCAAAGAGGCAAGGTTACAGGAAAAGGGGGTCAGTGAACAAACTGAGTTGCTCTCGCAGACAGTTGGCATGGACACAAACGTTTGCTATATTTTAAATGCTCCAGTTTTAAGAATGTTGGCACTGCACAGTAAGAGGAAACAAGTTTACATGACTAGTTTTTGTTAGGGAAGAAACATGGATACAAGTTGCAACACAGTTGCAGTTCATATGGAAAGCTGCTGTCTAATCTGATTTCAAAGCTTCCATTATACCAGGCTTTCTATTCTATAGAGAAAGTCTGAGTAGAGACAGATGTCTGGGCAAAAGCACATAAATAATGCCAAATATAAGCTGACATTCTGGAGTTCTTATTGATTAGACCTTTGGGAGCACAAGAACAAAATTTTCAGAATCTTTGTTTAGGAGTCTAAATGGTCGGGCAGAATCTATGATGACTGGATTGTACATGGCATGTAGAAAGATTAAGTTTGTGAGCATTGTACAAAAAGCCATTTGGTCTATGTGCTATAACTCTCAACACTGTCTTTTAATTTAGTCTCCAAAATTAGTTTTCAAATATATTACATTAAGCTTGGATCCATACTGGGATAAACCAGCACAGCATCTGCAAACCTTAACAATATGCATTCATAGTAAGACATGATCCTGGCAACGAATTCAAAATGTTTCATTCAAAGCAATGTACACCAGATTTTGGCATATGTTAGTTTAATTGAAACATTAAATTATCATTATATAAAGTGGCAGAAATACTGAAGAATTTGGTAAAATGGTGTAGAAATACATCCCACCAGATGACCAGTCCATGCTTTCATGTAATGCCGGTGCTTGTTCTGGAATCAGGAAGTATCCTACTATCTAATAGACTATTATTAGCTTCATTACCATGTAATGTGACATTACAATTAAGATAAAAGAGAAATGCTCTTTAGATTCGCGAGGAGGTGGTGAGGCGAGGACCTACACAGAGAAATAGAAAGACTGGTGACTAACCTGAATGGGACTTGGTATATAATGGTGATCACAAAACCATTGCTGACTGTGCAAAAAATCCATCTGGTTCACTAATGTTCTTTAGGGAAGGAAACTGCTGTCCTTACTTGGTCTGGCCTACATATGACTGCATACCCACAGCAATAAGGTTGACTCTTAGAAACCCACTGGGCAATTAGGGATGGACAATAAATACTGGTCTATCAGCAATGTCTACATCCCGTGAAATATTATACAAAACAAGAATAAGTTTTTCTCGTCTGTATTTAAGTAGGAGTGAGGGTAAAATAAAAGCAAAGGGTCAATATTCTATTTGGTTGAGGTATATCTGGAGAGTTCAAGTCTGTGGCTTGACATTTTGCACTATGTGGGAAATATTATGCTCCAGGCAGTCTGGATGACCAAGTGTGCAGGATATGCCTTTGGTTGGAGCAACCCGAGCTTCAGGTTTGAGATTGTGACCACTATGATGCATTGATGAGGCAGAGAGGTTGGTGGATAGCACATTTCAGTCTGTGGTCACCCTACAACTTAAGGAAGTATCATTCTGAGAAGGAATGGGTGACTGCCAGAAAAAAGTATGGAACCAGACAGGTAATAAGGAAATCTCACCAATTGCATCTTGCTTGCAAACAGTTTTCTGGCCTTAGAAAATGGTAAGAGCAATGGTTCCTCTTTGGAGGCCAGGCAAAGCCATAGCACGAGGAGGAAGTGGGGTAGGTGATTCATTAGTGAGGATAATAAGCAGGTAATGTGACCATAAACCTGACAATAAGATGCCACCCGGGTGCCAGGGTCAAGGATATCACAGAATGACTGGAGGGCATTCTGAAAGGGGAGGGTAAACAGCCAGAGGTTGTGGGTCTAATGTTGTAACCAATGACATAGGAAGGTAGAGATCTGAAATCCTGTAAGCAGGGAGTTGGTAGGAAATTGAAAAGTGGAACTTCAAAGGTAGTCATCTCTGAATGACTCCTGAGGCTGCCCAGTAGAGAGTCTATAAATAGAAAATACAGCAGATGAATCTGTGGCTTGAGAAATGGTGCAAGGGGTAAGTCTTCAGATGCCTGAGACACTGGGATTGTTTCTACATGAGGCAGGAACTGCACAAGTTACATCTGAACAGGAACAGGACCAACATCCTCACAGGGAGATTTGCTAATACTATTCAGGCAGGTTTAAATTAGATTAGCAAGGGGATGGGTAGCGGAGGAGAGAGATTCTGAGATGGAATTAGGAGTTAAAACACAAGTGAGTCTGGAAAGCAGAGGAAATCTAGAATAGATAAGAGAAAATCTGATTTAGCAAGCCCATATGGAATAGATTTTAATGCAAGGAGCATAATATCACAGCTATAACTGAGACTTGGCTAAAAGATGGACATGATTGGCAGCTGACATTGCTGGAGATAGGGTATTTAGTTGAGATTGTACAGGGGGTAGAAGAAGAGACGGTTGCAGTATTGATCAAGGAATCAACTGTAGCATTGTGGAGAGATGATATCTTAGATGGATCATTAAATGAGGCCATATGGGTGGAAGTTAAAATTACCAAAGGGCAAACATGCAGTTGGGTGTGTGTTCTATAAGCCCCCAAACAGTCAGGGAGAGACAGAGAATAAAATATGTAGACAAATTTCAGAGAACTGTAAGAATAAGGCAGAAATAATATGAAATTTCAACTATGCAAATGTTAACTAGCATAATTTTAATGCAAGGTAGAAAATTCTTAAATTGCATCCAGAACAATGTTTTTAGTCAGTACATTGAAAGCCCAACAAGGGAGGGGGCAGTTCTCAACCTAATATTCGGAAATAAGCCCAGGTAGGTGTAAGGCGTATCAAGTACCTTCTCAGACAGCATCTTCAAAACCCACAACCACTAGCATCTATCAAGAAGGGCAAAGGCTGCAGACACCTGGAAACATCACCACTTGGAAGTTCCCTTCCGCGCCACTCACCATCCTGACTTAGAAATATACTGACGTTCCTTCAGTAGCACTGGGTCAAAATCCTGGAACACCCTCCTTAATGCCATTATGTATCAACCTACAGCAAATGGGCTGCAGCTGTTCGCCACCACTTTCTCAAGGGCAGCTAGAGATGGGTAAAGACAACATCCCACGAATGAATGAATGAATGGAAAAAAGGAGGGAGCATCTTGCATAGCGACCATATATCAGTTAGATTTAGGATAGTTATGGAAACAGATAAGGAGTAAACATTCTAAGCTGGGGAAAGACTAACTTTACTAAACTAAGATATGATTTGGCCCAAGTGGATTCAGGGCAACAACTTGCAGATAAAATTTGTCAGAGTGACGGAATGGGGCAAGTATGATCACTTAAAGAGTGTAGAACCCTGAATGTCAAGGGATATAATGGTTAAGATTCAGAAAATAAGAAAAGCTTATGGCAGGTACCAAGGGCTCCAAGGGACAGAGTTCCGAGAAGAATATAAACTGTATATTGGAAAACTAAATGGAAATT